ATCTCCTTTTTATTTTTCTGTGGGATGTCATGTTGCTGTTGTTGTTCTTGTCATTGTTGTTTAGCTGTTCTGATGTGAAAGAAAGAATGGGGGTTAAGAATGAAACATAATATGGCAGAGAAACAAAACATAAAAGTGCCACCTTTCCCTTTTCCCAAAATCTCATTTTTCATGTTCTGCACATAAATCTGTGTGTATCTGGTATGTGCGAGTGTGTGTGAATGGTGCTGGTTGGCTTATTTGTCTCCTTGTTCAAATTCTTATTCATTTTTTTGCTGTGATGGGAAATGTTAAACATTTAGAGGTGAAATTTTGAAAAGAAAAACAAAAAAAAAAAAAACATTTCTAGTGATTTTGTGTTTGATTGGTTTTGAATGGAATGCATTGTTTTTTTAATGTGAAAAGCCAAAAAAGTTGAAGCATTATTTTAGTACATAATAAAGGAAATCTTGAATTTCAGAAGGAATATTTATAATATGTACCACGTTTTCCCGAGCTTTCAGATAATTGAAATTTGAGTAGGAAAATAATCAATGGGCAAAAGGTACTGTATGCTTTGTTCTGGATCTAGAAAACAGCTCAATTTTCTTCCTCTTCTTCGTCATTTTTTCCCAAAACTCAGCCAAATTTTGATTTTTTTTTTTTTAAATTTGAAAACGTGCACCTCATTTTTGCTTGCCTGTTGATGGTGGGATATGAAACAAGATAAATAACAATGGAAATATGAAAGTATGTTTTGGGTCTTTGTTAACACAGCATGTGCAAATATATTGGAGATTTGTCTCTTCTTGAAAAGAACTCTCTCTGCAAGTCAAATGGCTGTCTTAGTGTACCATTTCTGGAATCTTCACGCACTTTCATCTCTGGTTGAAAACCTATCTCAGATTAAATGCCTTGACTGAAATAAGAATAGGAAACAAAATAATTAAATAAAAGCTAGATTATTTATTTTTAAATTCTTTTATTTCTCAGTCATGGCCTTCTGCATGAATTTCATCTCAATTTTTATTAGTGGGTCCTAAAATAACACAACTAAATGTTCATCTCATTTTTTGCTTGTGCAGACAAGGGCATTTCACACAGTGGCTTGAACTGTGGGGAGGAATAGTGGGGATAAATTGTTCTTTTTCCTTTTTTTTTTTTAATTTTTTTTTTATTTTTTATATATGTTGGGCTAAAATGAACAAAGAGTTGAAGAAAGTGGAAAAGGGTTGTGATGTGGCTGAGAAAGTCGTGGTGGCTGTTAAGGCATCAAAGGATATACCTAAGACAGCTTTGGTTTGGGCTTTGACTCATGTTGTTCAGCCGGGGGACTGTATAACACTTCTTGTAGTTTTCTCATCACATTTGTCTGGTAAATAATTTCTTAATCATATTCATTCATTTCCTATGCTTGTAATTTCTTTCCGTTTTCTGTCGAATACAATCGATAAGTCTCATTTTTCCAGCTCTCGGAAATTTAGAGTGTGATTTTGCCCATTATCCTAATCTTTCTTGTTTTCTTTCATTTTTCAGCATTTTTCACCATTTGTCTTCTTTCTTATATCACTAATTCAGGTCGAAAATTATGGGGCTTCCCAAGATTTGCCGGGGACTGTGCTAGTGGCCACAGAGCAGCGCGGACCCACTCTACCGGTACAAGTTCAGAGCAGAAATCGGACATCACGGATTCTTGCTCCCAAATGATCCTTCAGCTTCACGATGTTTATGATCCTAACAAGGTAAGTATGAAGTATCGCTTTTTTTTTTCCCTTACGGATGAAAAATTAAACGCTTCAACCGGAGTTCGACAATGATTTTTGTTAATTGTTAAATTTTTTAGATCAATGTGAAGATAAAAGTTATCTCGGGTTCACCGTGCGGTGCAGTTGCTTCCGAGGCCAAGAAAATCCATGCAAATTGGGTGGTATTAGACAAGTAAGGGATATTTGTTATGTTACAAATAGCTCCTCCTTTGGAAAAAAATAAAATGAGGTTATTTCTTCTATAAATAAATTGAACTTGAAGGACCTTTTTGTTNCCTCAAACTCGAGGAAAAGTGCTGCATGGAGGAGCTCCAATGCAATATCGTCTCCATGAAACGGTCCCAGCCGAAGGTCCTTCGCCTGAACCTAGTCGGTTCAGCCCGGAAGGAGCCCGAGCCCGAGCCCGAGCCAAAGCCCAATAAACGAGTAGCCCAAAAAGGCTCTCCCAATCCAGCCCGCGGGCCCCACCTTGTCACTCCCTCAAGCAGCCCTGAGACCTTCACTCCCACCGAGGTTGGAACCTCGTCTGTCTCGAGCTCCGAACCCGGGACTTCTTCGCCTTTCTTCATAACCGACCCGAAATTCGACTTCAGCAAGAAATCGAAATCGATATCCACAAAACAAGATCACGATCACGATGACATCACCGAGTCCGATTCAGACAGCGAGACCCTTTCTAGTCTAAGGTTGTCCGAAATAGTCGTCAAACAGAAAATTAAAAATCCCGTCATTTCCAAAAACGCCCTTTTCGAGAAAAACGACGACCGTTCCCCGAGCGGAAGCTTGAGGGAGGCTATTGCTTTGTCGAGGGGGAGCGGGGGCCCGTGCGGGCCCCCACCGTTGTGTACGGTGTGCCAGCACAAGACTCCCATTTTCGGTAAGCCGCCTAAATGGTTCGCGTACGCTGAGCTGGAGCTTGCCACGGGTGGGTTCTCACTGGCGAATTTCTTGGCGGAGGGCGGGTATGGGTCGGTCCACAGAGGAGTACTGCCCGACGGGCAGGCAATCGCGGTTAAGCAGCACAAGCTGGCGAGTTCTCAAGGGGACCGCGAGTTTTGCTCGGAGGTCGAGGTTTTGAGCTGCGCTCAGCACCGTAATGTGGTGATGCTGATCGGGTTTTGTATCGAGGATGGAAGGAGATTGCTGGTTTATGAGTATATATGCAACGGATCTCTTGATTCTCATCTTTACGGTATGNCAATTTACAGAAGACTTTTGTGTTTGGTAAGCATATAAGCTAGCTTATAGCTTATTTGATTGGCTTATATGTTTCTTGTTATTCAAATAAGCTTGGTTTGGTAGGACGGGCTTTTTTAAAAAGCTCGAGTTTATCTTATAAGCTTCATTTGGGTAGCTTTTCAAATAAGTCCAATTAAATTTTTATTTCGACTAATTTTACCAAACACTTTTATTATATAAGTTAGTTTTCCAAGCATAAGTCAGTCACAAGCTATCAACTATATGCTCGAAATTCACTTAAAAGCTATAAGATAGCTTATCAGTTAAGTTTACCAAACATGCCTTATGTAGGTTGAAAGCCCAACTGCATTTTTTATCAAAAGTTGTAATTGTGTATGAATTACAGTTAGCAATTTTATATTATTATCTTAGGGCGCCATCACGATACGCTTTCTTGGGCCGCACGCCACAAGATTGCAGTTGGGGCAGCCCGTGGATTGCGTTATCTTCACGAAGAATGCCGGGTCGGATGCATTGTCCATCGGGACATGAGGCCCAATAACATCCTCATCACTCATGATTTCGAACCCTTGGTGCGAACTTTTATTAACCTTCGATTCCTTTTTTTTTTTTTTTAATTTATATGTAGCTCAAATCTTGATTCATATTTGTTGACTAATTAGGTGGGAGATTTTGGTCTGGCTCGTTGGCAGCCAGATGGGGAGACCGGAGTTGAAACCCGAGTCATTGGAACCTTTGGGTATCTTTTTCTTAGCCGCTCGATTTTCTCGAGTAGCAAAATATAATTTACCATCCATAAGAAGAATCACTATATAATGTTCACTAATTAGGTTATTTATACAGATATTTGGCACCGGAATACGCTCAAAGCGGACAAATCACGGAAAAAGCTGACGTTTATTCATTCGGTGTGGTGCTTGTGGAGCTCGTCACTGGTCGTAAAGCAGTGGACTTAAACCGGCCTAAAGGCCAACAATGCCTTACAGAATGGGTAAAAAACAAAACCTGTTTTGGTGTACAATATGCTGTGTTTACATCTGATTCTGACATTTTATCTTTCTTATTATGTATGATATGTTTGGATTTAAGGCACGACCGCTTTTGGAGGCTTACGCGGTTGACAATCTGGTGGACCCTCGACTAGGAGATAATTACTCGGAAGGTGAGGTACACTGCATGTTACATGCGGCATCGTTGTGTATACGACGAGACCCTCAAGCAAGGCCACGCATGTCTCAAGTAAGACGAAGAAAATGAGGATTTTTCAGGATTTTTTTTTCTTCACATTTCATAGCTATTTCTTCAAAGGTAAGTAATAATTCTTGCTTGTTTTTTCTTGCTTTTTCATAGGTGCTTCGAGTACTTGAAGGTGATGCTATGGATTCGGGTCAGCTGGGCACTCCCGGTTTTGAAGTGGGCAGCCGGAGTGGAAGAATATGGTCGGGCCACCACCAGTTGCAAAACGAGCAGCATAGTGGGCCCATTTAGCTCGAAGCTTTGTCTCGACTGAACATCAAATCTCGAATTTCAGGGAGAAATNAGCTCCCCAAGGATTGGAATGTGAAGATACTATGTGGACTTTGTGACTTTCTGTTTTGTGATGTCTGCACAAAATTTTTCAAGATATCGATCGAGCAAGTAATTGTGTTTTGTTACGACGTTGGAGAGTTTTGCAGTTGTATGTATAGCTGTGGTAGTAGTAAAAACCTCTTTGTAACCACTTACTGAGAAATTGAATTTGATATCCCAATTAATTTTGCATGATGTGACAAAATTAATGTTTGGCACGTTGTTAATAGGACTGCAAACGAATCATGCAGCACGCGAGCCTGCTCACGAGCTCTAGAGTCAAAGCTCAGCTTGAGGTCGAGTTTAACCAAACTCGAGCACGATGTTGAGTCGATCTCGAGCATATAGGTGTTGGAAGGTTGAGCCGCTCACAATGTATTTCTGGTAATTTTACTTGAAATTTGAGTCAAACTCGAACAGAATTGAGCCCGAACAATCTTTCAAGCATTTTGATTTTAATCAATCTCGAGCCGAGCTCAAGCACGTAAAAAAAATAATAATAAAAAAAATCAATCTTGCTATATAAGGCCAAGGCCAATGCTAGACTCGATTCGACCCGTTTGCAGCCCTACTTGTGAATCTCATATCAATAATTAATCCTTAAATCTAAAATCTAACTCTTATAAAATGCCAAAGGCAAATGGAGTCTCAATCTAAAGCTGCAATTGATAGTTTCATACACACAAAAGGTACAAGTTAGAATTATCCTTGAATTACAATTTTACAGAGTAGCTTGGAAACATGACATTCCTACCCGACGAGCTTCGATCAAGAGTGGAGTCCCAGGTTTGAGCCTCGCCGTGAAGTTTCCTTTTTCATATCTCAAATGTAGAGTTGTTTAGGGCTTCCTCATTTTCGACCTGGCGTATCTGAAAGGCAATTGGCAAAAAAACGAATTCAACAATGGTTGTAAAATGAGAAGAAAAAGAAAACAATTGAAATTTTAGGTTTAAAGAATAGAGATAAATACTCGATATGCATTCCACCACGGTCAGAGGATGGTAGCAAGCATCCTTGAAGGAGATTCATTGCCTCGGTTGCTTGTTCAACTCTCTGCGTACAACGGAAACGATAAATATTGTTTTTTTCTGCCTCGATGACCTAATATAACACCTTAAAACCACTTGAATATACTAAATTTTTGATTGACTGAAGAGATTGAATAGACCTTCACTTTTCACAATTAAGTGAAGGATTTATATACCTCAAAATCAGCAAATGCAACCGGCATTCCACCTCTTGCGCTAACCTTAAGGCTATTGAATCCTTGATATCTGTAACGACACCCGAAAGGAAAATAAGGAAAAAAGAAAGAAAGCACAGAAAATGGTTTTCCTAATTCATAATGCATGTCAAAAGGGAAATTCCATCAACCAATGAAATCCAAACAATCCAATTTACCTGGTAGCTTCACATAAATAAATACTTAGCTTCACATAAATAAATACCTATTTCTAACTGGCAGTATCATTACCCAGCATAATATATAGAGGTTTGCACAGGCAACTTACTGACAAAGATATTGCTTCAGTTCTGTTTCAGTGCAATTTGGGCCAAGATTTGCAATAAACAAGGTAGAGCAAGCACCATCTGTTCTCTTATCTGCTTGTTCCTGTCACAAGTCATTCAAACACGATTAGTCATCTTCAAATTAAATAAATAACGAATACGAGCAGAGTTAAAGATAAGTTGCTTTACAAAAAAATAAAAAATAAAAATAAAAAAGAACTGTATATACTTACATTCTCACTAGTGTTCAGTTCTTCAGTGCTGTCAAAATGCAAGGTTCGTTACATCAGACTTTCAAATAATTTATAAAACCAGGACATATTGTCAAACTCTGAAGGCAAACAAGTCGATGTTAAGTGATATTCTTGTAATATGTCTTAACCTCTTGTGAGCTGCTGAATCATCTTCACTGGCTTCAGGCTCATCTGAATCACCACCATCTTGAAATATCCAAAGTTGAATTACACGATCGTTAATGTCATGGGACAAAACAAAGCTAAGTCAAGTTTGTGCCATTGGCCCATTTAAGGAAGATGCTCAGGGTATATAACTATATATCAAATAATAGTGAAACAAGGTCGAATTTTGTCAAATAAAATAATGAAAAATGGAAGAAGGCTGGCTCACCCACCATCACTCGATGATCCCCCAGCATCCGCATCAGATTTTGTTCTATTATCGATAACAATATACGGACCGCTTCCTATTACACAATGTTAGAGCTTGTCAGAAAATTCAGCATATACATACACTTGTCAGAAAATTCAGCATTTATGCCAACCTGGTTTATGTTTTCGTCTCGAATTTGATCTTGCTAATTCGATGTGCAAAGTCGAGCCCGTCTGAGGATCAAATTTAACACCCTGCAAGATGTTGGTCTTGTCATCCATTCTTGACCAGTAGATGAACTTAAAGAGTTGTTTATTTCCTATTTAGATGCCATAGTTGTTGGAATTGAACAAATCTCAGAAATAATAGGCGATTTGGGGCCACCTATGTTATAATCAATAACAAAATTTAACAAAACAAAGTTTGCCAAAAGTTGAACTTCAGAAGAAACTCACATTCAGAGAATGCAGAGCTGCCATTGCTGATTGATGGTTTACAAAGGTTGCAAATGCTACAACCTGCCATTTAGACACACACACACACGAAGAGAGAGATGTAAAGCTTTTTTAAACCCTTCAAAACTAATAAAATTGCAAACGAGGAAAAAGTTGCAGTTATCCTCAGGAATACGCGCAAAAAACAATGATTAAACAATAATTATAAACCAAAAATTAGATATTTTAGCTTGCAAAATTTTGATCCAAACCCTCAGATAACGAGAAATGCAGGAATTTATACTTTCTCGCTCATAGACAGAGAGAAAAATCAGACCTGATTGCCGCGGCCGGTGTATTTTAGCTGGCAGGAATCGAAGCCGGGGCGGCGGCGGAAGAGGTTGTGGATTTCCCGCGGCATCACGTCGTCGGGGAGGCCGGAGATGAACAGTGTGTTGATTCCATTCCTCTCTCCGCCGGAGAAAACGTATTCTGGAGGCGGCGGGGGCAAGTAGAACGGCTCGTACGGCGGCGGATGGGCCATCCCGGCAGGTGAGCGCAAGGGCATCGGCTGATAGGCTGAGTCTCAGGTGGACAGACACATTGTGGAGTGTGGGTAAAATGATATAAAGTGGGCTGGACTTTTTCTAATTTGCTAGCAATTGGATTTTATAAAAGATGAGCGGCCCAACGGAAAAAGTGCAGGAATGTTTATGTCTCCGCCCAAATAGTCTTGGCCAATTTACACGCTTACTAAGTCAATGCGAAATATTGCACATATACGATTACGTCAAAAAGATTAGCACTAATACGAAATTAGATAAAATAATGAGTTGAATGTAAAAAATTAGTTTACGAAAAAAACGGAAGCAATATCCATTCTTTTTAACTTTGGTTGTGACAAAAAACCAACAATTTTCAAACGTTAATAACTTTTTTGTTTGTTATCTATTTTTTATATATAATATATCTAATTAATCACCTTTCGATGAGGTTTAATTTGATATTTATATTGCATATACAAAATAAAAAATAATTTTATTTTTTATTATGAATTAAATTATCTATTAATATTAATTATAATTTAATAAATACTAATAAAATTATCTATATCGGGGTTGCATATTCGATAGGAAAATAAAAAACATGAAAACTCTCTCTCTCTCTCTCTCTCTATATATATATATATATATACTTATATATTATATAAATCATTACATATTATAAATTAAGTATAAATCGAATTATTACAGGTTATGTAAAAAAACGCAATATATACTAAACATATAGTAACTATAACCACAACATATACTAAAAAAAAATTCGGTGTCCGTCTTGTACAAAAAAATGCAATATATATACTAAAAATATACTAACTATAACCATAACATATACTGAAAAATATTTCGTTGTCTGTCTTGTACAAGATTTTACGCACGTCGTTAAGTTTTGCGCAACATATACTAAAATGCAGTATATAGTTTTGCGCAAAATGTTTATTACAACGAAATTTGACTTTTTTATTTAATAATATGTAAGTCCCTTTAGTGTAAGATTCCTTCTGATTTTTGCAGGAAGGTCAATCGAATTATTATAAAGGTTTAATGCTCATTTTTTGCTATCTCATTGTTGCTGCTAGTTTCTTTGTGCACGTTGATCCTTCGAATGGTGAGTTCTTTATATGTTTTACTGTTAATCGTTTTTTCGATTATTAGTGTTCTTTATATGTTTTACTGTTAATCGTTTTTTTTCGAATATTAGTGTTATTTAATAGAGAGATTGTTGGGAGGTGGCGTGAGTGATTTTTTGACTAGAGAGAAACAGATAGAAGAAACATGTGGTGAGAAGTTGTAAAAGATTCCCTATCCCTCGTAATATCCGTCGTTATCCCCATAAAACCAACAGTTACCTTTTAAAAAAAATGAAAAAGGAAAACTGAAAATTGGATAAATCACGTAGGGATGCAATAAATATGTACAGTTGTTTCAAAATTGCTAATAAAAAATTATGTCCGTGTATCTGCAAATATGTTTAGAATATCTCGGCCTAGGAGTAATTTTCTCAATAGTCTTTACAAAGATAGACGACCCAACTAAGAATAGGAAGGGAATAAGACTCTCCTTAATAGGAGTTTTTTTTTTTTTTTGCATACTCTCCTTAATAGGAGTTTTAGTGGCGCCTAGGCGGACTTTTAGTACACTGTTTTTGGCAAATTACTCTAATCTTGTTTACATTACAATCTAAATAGCAATTGAAACCGATAATTTATGATGTTATTTGGTCTTTCCAAAATGAAAATACAAACGTAAACTAAAACAAAAAATGCAGCTTGTGCTTTCTGTTTGTTCTTGTGCCCGCCCGTTGTCATGGATGAGTATCATATCATTTTGAAAAACAAATACATGGAAAATGTGGCCCAATCCTATCGAAAAAATTCGAGTTGATTGGGAAGAAAATATTTAACATGAGGCTTATAAGTGCACGTTGTGCAATCTTCAAATGATCGACATTTATTTATCTATATATATATATAAAGATTTACTATTTACCAGATTTAGTAAGAAGAAAAGTCAAACAATATTTATTACTTTCTATTTTCAGCAATTTTTCATTTTTTTTTAATTCCTTGCCAAAAATTCGGACTGCATAAATGATTTAATCCTACATTCATCCATTTATTAATTTTCTTTTTAACTAATTGCTAGAAATTCGGTCACCATAAATGCATAGTTCCTTATCTATCAATTTATTTTGGAAAAATCTTATTGCATAGAAAATGTGTTCTCATTTCAAATTTAAAATTTAAAATTTTTTATTCATTATTAGTTGCCTTAAAATCGGGTTGAACAAAAATTTGGAATTAGGCAAAATACAATAACATCTTTTTATATAAATTAAAAATTAAATATATATTTATAATTTATAATTTTGTCGAATCAAAATTATGTCTCATTATTTATACTTATTATTCACATCGGGTTTTAAATATATGATAAAATTTTATCAAAATAATTATTTATTGATTTTTCCCCAATAATCGAATACTTTTGTCATACTTTTCGAATAGGAATCCGTTTTCTGAAAGATCCTGGCTAATGTCTAAACTCAATGATTTCAAAATTCTGTCAAAATCAAAATTATCCTCCACAAAAGTACTCTTCATTTGCAAAATACGGGTGAACCATGCACTTCGCCATAGATACAGTAATAAAAGGAACATAGGAGTTTGTCACTAGGAGTGACTTGGACAAAAAGAAAGGAAGTGGCTTTGGAATCACGTTATAGTCAAATCGAATTTCTGAATAAAATTTTGAAATGACACATATTTTGAAATGAATATAATGTACTTCATTATCAGTTATGTACAACACACTGGATGTGTACTAATTTTACATAGACAGTTTTATGTAATTTTGCACAATTTAAATTTATATGACATTTTCAATAAATTATATAGGTACATTGTTACATATTGATTCCATGTTCAAATTTATAAATATTATTTAATATAATTTTTAATTTATAAATATTAATTAATATCGCTTACCCGTGCATCGCACGGAATTCGTAGTAGTTTATTGAAAGAAAATATAATGAGGTTCATAACTTTGCACATGGTGCAGTCTTCAAATCATCATT